ACGGTAGATGTTAAGGATTATTGGAGTCGACGACGCCGCGGCAGCAGGGACCAGGGGGCCAGAGGACCAAAGGACCAGGGGACCAAGGGACCAGGACCAGAGGACCAAAGGACCAGGGGACCAGGGGACGAAGGGACCATGGGACCAGACCTAGCAAGGCCCCCCAGGCCGGGCCAGACCTAGGAAAAAAAAACCGGGTACCCTTGCAGAGCCCATCCGCAATAAATGTCAGAGAGGGGCCTTCATACTTACCTAAAGTACTTCGAAGGCTCCTTACCATACTTACAGTACAGTGGGTCCCCAAACCCTATTCTAATCATTAAGGCCCCTATTGTATTTTGCAAGCTTGTGGGACCTCAACTATAAAGACACTTCGAAAAAACCTGCCTGCAGCTCCTGACAACTCCCCTGACAAGGCCTCCACAGGAACCCCGTGAACGAAGGTAAGGGAACCCTCGAAACCTCTACAACTCTGAAACTCGCCGGCGCAAGGGACCCCGAGACAGCAACCCTAAACCCCAAACCCTAAACCCTAAAACCCTAAAACCCTAAAACCCTAAACCCTAAACCCTAAACCCTAAACCCTAAACCCTAAACCTTAAACCCTTAAACTTCAAAGCTCCTACTTGGGTTTAGAGCGTAGGGTTTAGAGCAACCCAAAGCCCTATTCCCCCTAAAACCCTAATTAACTCCAACACCTAAACCCAGAGAGCCCAATACCCCTTAATTAAGGAATATGGCTTAACTGATAAGGGGCTTCATATTCTGATTTAAGCTATATTCCTTAGTTAAGGGGTATTGGGCTCTCTGGGAACCCTCCATCCTGACTTGAACTTAGACCCCCAGCAATAATTGTAATTTTAGCTGTTTCTTAAGGATTATAATAACCGAAAATTGAAAATTATTTCTAAGTACCCCTAAGGTACCCTATAAACCCTCACCTAAACCCTTACCCCCTTAGCCCCGATGCATTTTTAAGTACCCCTAAGCATCGTAGCCCCCAAAGGCCCTGGAGCTCCCCAGACCTTCCAAAATCCCTTAATTAAGGAATATACCTTAAATTAGAATAGGATCCCTAATAATTAAGGTATATTCCTTGATTAAGGGATTTTGGAAGATCTGGGTCCCCGTCTCACGGATCCCGAGCCACCGTTCTCATCAGCAAGAAGAGCGGAGGATGCATGCGCAGCACCTCCATGGGCTTTTTGGGCACAAAAAAACAGCACATAAGCAAAAATAAGGATAGGGATATCCCAGAAAAACTTCCTTAAAAGGAAGCCGAATAAGGTAGGGATATCCCCATAAAATGCTTATGCTTATGTGCTTTTTGGGTCCGTAAGCTCAGGGACTCCGTGAAAACAGCACTCTCATCAGCAGCAGCATTATTACTCTGATTACTACGATCAACGTTGTTATTGTTAGCATTATGTTGATATTATCTCCTAGAAGAGATCTATAGCATTGGGTTTTACTTTTTGGTTTCGCGCCGTTTAGGGCTCGGAATTTTGGTTTGGGGTGTAAGGTTGAGGATCGCTCTTACAGGACTTTTTAAAGGGCTTGACGAGGGTTGATGGGATTCAGGGATTTAGGGGTTTCAAACGGGTGTCGGTGGGAAATCCGATCTACATAGTCTCTCTGGTTCTTAGTAGGGAATGGGGGAATGGATTATGGAGACTACCATTGGGGATTATATAGGGACTACTACATGATCCATTCCCCCATTCCCTACTAAGCACCAGGCAGTTTATCACAAACGGTCGGGTTCAGGCTTTTGCAGACAGAGCTCCTAAGAAAAGCTAGATGCTCATACCCTACCCTTTTTCTAGGGTACCTACAATTTTAAGATAACAGATCCTAACCAGAAACCTCGGTAGCCCAAACAAGGAAGTAGGGTATGAGCTCCTAGGAATATGGTAAAATCCTCCCTCCACAAACCTTGATAAGAAGGAGTCTGAATCTTTAGTGATACTGTCCCCCGATGATCTCTTACCACTGCACTACAATGATTTACAATGAGCATGAAGGAAACTATCGTAGTAACCCGTTTAAGGAACACATTGACGACACATTACCGTGCTGAACTGGGTGCCCATTATAATAACCGAAATCTTCAAATTGTTTCCAAGTGCTCCTAGGCTAAGGAATCCAAACCTCCAAACGACCCTTCTAAGTAGGGGCCCTATACCATTCTACTATGAAGCCTCATATGGCATATGAACCTTAAACCCTTTTAGGGTTCATTACGTCGTTAAGGCTTAAGGAACCCTCTAAAGAATCCAAGCCGGTAATTGTGGGTTCCCCAGAATAAATGAGGGCACCATTGTCCTAGTATTCACGTTCGATAAAAGTAACCCTCAAACGAAAAGGGCAAAAGGGTGCCACGTGGGAACTTTAGGTACACAAACCCAACAAGTTTAAAGTAAAGAATCCCATAAACCCTAAACCATCAACCAAGCCGCCTAATCCTAATCCAGGATTCCTGCCTCGCTGACTGCCGAACGCAGCCTAGGCTTCTACGAAACTTAGGGATCAACAAGTTCTTTTGAGGTAGGGTTTAGGGCAGGGTTGGGGAGGGGGTTCTGTTTGAACTGTTTAAGCACACCGATGTTTAAACGCTTTATGTTTAAACCCAGAGGACCCTCTGACGAGTCATGTTTAAACGGTACATGTTTAAACTAATTAAACTAAACATGAAGCGAAATGTTTAAACATACATGTTTAAACGCATTCCTCTGACCAGCCATGTTCAAACAGGTTTAAACGAGGTTGAACCAAACACGAGGCTGAATGTTTACACCTTCGGGGCTAGGGCGAAGTTAGGTGCAGGCCTACCGTAGAATTAGGCTTTGAGCCTTTGTAGCCCCTGTGAGCCCGAAGCCGTCGACGACTGGACTCCTAGCCTTGGCCTTGAAACTGAAGGCCTAAACCTCAAAGCCCGCCCGCTAACACCTTTTGGCCCTTTGGGACACTCAGGGAACTGTTTAAACACGGGCTTCAACAGATTCGGCATGTGCGACACTCAGGCAACTGTTTCAACATGTGTTTAAACATGCGTTTAAGTAGATTTGGCATGTGCGACACTCAGGGAACTGTTTAAACACGTGTTTAAACATGCGTTTAAACAGATTCGGCATGTGCGACACTCAGGGAACTGTCGGGAACTGTTTAAACATGTGTTTAAACATGCGTTCAAACAGATTCGGCATGTGCGACACTCCGGGAACTGTTTAAACACGTGTTTAAACATGCGTTTAAACAGATTCGGAATGTGCGACACTCAGGGAACTGTTTAAACACGTGTTTAAGCATGCGTTTAAACAGAGTCGGCATGTGCGACACTCAGGGACGTGGTTAAGCACTGATTAAAACAGATTCGGAATGTGCGACACACAGGGAAATGTTTAAACACGTGTTTAAACGCAGGCTTAAACAGATTCGGCATGTGCGACACTCAGGGAACTGTCGGGAACTGTTTAAACATGTGTTTAAACATGCGTTTAAACAGATTCGGCATGTGCGACACTCAGGGAACTGTTGAAACACGTGTTTAAGCACGGGTTTAAATACATTCGGCATGTGCGACACTCAGGGAACTGTCGGGTACTGTTTAAACATGCGTCTAAACAGATTCGGCATGTGCGACACTCAGGAAACTGTTTAAACACGTGTTTCAACACGGCTTGAAACACATTCGGCATGTGCGACGCTCAGGAAACCGTTTAAACGCGTGTTTAAACATGGGTTTAAACACATTCGGGATATGTGTCATGCTAAACATGCTTTTAAACGCCGCATTGGGACGTGCGACACTCCGCGAGTTAGCGCAAGTGTGTTTAAACATGTTTAAACGCCGTGCTGCGCATGTTCAAACCATGGTTTAACCATCTCAAGGCGACGACAACGTTTAAACAAATAAACAAGCATCGACCCACCGGCTAAACATGTTTAAACGAGTTTAAGTTGAAACCGTTCGAACCTAAACGTGTTTAGTGCGACTCTGGTTTAGGGCTTATTCCTCAAGGGCGTCAGGGTTTAGGGATTTAGGGCTCATGTAGGGGTTTAGGGTTTATGTAGGGTTTTAGGGCTTATTCCTTAAATGCTTCCTACAAGGGTGCAAAAAGCCAGCACTCCCCCCCAAATACCCTCGATCATGCCCTAAATATCTACTATTAAGGATCTCAGGGGCTCCATTAAAGGATACTTGGGGGGTGGCACAAGCCCTAAACCCTCTCTAAAGCCTCTACACACTAAACCCCTCACTCCTAAACCCAAAGCCCAAGTGGCTTCAAGAGTTCTTACTTGGGGGGTTGCTCACCGGATTTCTATCGGGGTTGCTTTAATGTTTGCTTGCACCAAGGGTTCCTGTAAGCTTGAAGTTCTTTATGTGAGGGTCCCTCAACGCTTCGAAGTTTCGAGTTCCTACATAAGGGTTCATCAAAGCTTCCTTAAAGGGTTTAGGGTTTAGGGTTTAGGGTTTAGGGCCTTGAAGCTTCGCTTTTTTTTCACGAGAACGTGGCAGCCCTCGGACCCGATCACACAGCCACAGTGACTGCAGCACTTTGTGAGTCTGAGTCTGCGTGACAAGGCTTTCCCGACGATCGTTACAGAACCTTCTGAATGTCCTACTTCTCGGGTATCATGGGGAACTACAGGTTAACCTTTTTGGTTATACAGGAATTCTATAGGGACTATACTACCCAAAAAGGTTAAAGGTTGCCTACTCTACTACCAGGATATGCACTCCTGGAGACCAACCCTGCGAGGTTGAGAGCATCCACTCTCGAAGTCTTTAGCCGCCTGCTGCTGCACCGCATGCTGAAACCAAAAGATCCCAATACCCCTTGATTAAGGAATATACCTGAAACCAAAATATGAAGGCCCCTATAATTCAAGGTATATTCCCTAATTAAGGGATATTGGGATCTCTGGGAAGGTGCCTCTCTTCTTTCATGGACTCGCACGCTATGCGCGCCGCGGCCCACAGCTGAAGTTCTTGCCAGTCACAGGGCCTCCACTTGGAGGATCTCGATCCAGGCCGCGAGCACCACCCAAGAAGAGCCCTCCTCCATGGCCTTCCAAGCTGGATCGCTTTCCGGCCCCTAGATTCCATTCTGAGACACCACACGAATGCCACAGAGTGGCTGCCAGCCAGGCTGAGGAAACCTGCCGTTTGGAAGCCCTGCAACCACAAATCCCTAGGTGCATTCTCCTGAAACACAAAAATAAAAGCAAAAGCATTGGGGGCTGAGGGCTGAGGGGTTTGAGGAATGGGGCGGGCAGCTGCTTCCCAGACCCCCGGCAGGATCCAAAAAGCAGATCCCTTCATGGGGGTTCCTGAAAAGTACCCTTCGCAGTATAGGGATCTACTTTCTAGATCCTGCAAAGGGGGTCTGGGTTAAGCTTTACAGCCCAATGGGCCCTAGATACTGTTATGGGGGATACTTCCCCAAATCAAAATAGAAATTCTGAATATAGAAACCCTACATTCTGCTATATAGGTACTTTGGACCCTTTGGGATACAGGGGCCTTCATAATCAGAATGGGGCTCCTTTAAGGGTCCCTTTAAAGGGTTTAGGGTTTAGGGTTTAGGGGTTCTGGGCTTTAAACTTTACAGCTCAAGGTGTTCAGAGCTTCGAGCTCCAGATTTGTGGCTTCAGGGTTCATCTGGATGCTATAAAACCCTACCTTTTTAGGATCCCAACTCCTTATAAAAGCAGGAGGGCCTTAGGGTGTAGGGTTTAAGGTTTAGGGTTTTGGGCAGAGTCAACCAAACCCGACCCTAAAGTGAAGTTTAGCTCTTGGCAGCTGGAGACCTAAGATGACAAGCTTCCAAACCCTAAATCCTAAACCCAATTCGTGGTACTTCGTTTCCTTCTCCTGCACGTTAGACGGGTTGGACAACAGCGACAGAAGGATCCAGGTTGCAAGGACCCTTGCAACTTGGCACCCCCCCCATTTCCCATGAAACCAAACTCTGGAAAGCCGTGAGAATGTCCCTTATAATTAATGCCACAAACGAGCCGATCAACTCCTCAGAACCAAGCGCAAATCCGCAAACAAAAACCCTTACAAATCAAACTTAGCTCCCTTAAATAACAATGAAGCCCTTTGAAGAAACCTGTACAAGTCCGGTCGAAAGAACCACAAACCCTAGACCTGAAACTTCCAACAAAAAGAGCCAAGCGACTTCTTCATGCTCTCGTAGCCGTCGAAAGTGAAGCTCGCCTTGTCGCTGCCGAGGACCTCAAGAGAGGGTTTAGTGTTGAGGATGTTGTCAGCATGAGGGTTCAACATGGGCATTTAGGGTTTATGGCGGGTCTCGAGATTTTACAGGGTGATGCTATGAGTGCGTGAAGAAGGCTCTATAGCGTTCTACATGGTTCTGCAAGGGTTTTAAGTTGATCTTATCGGTGCTTTTGTCAGACGCGGGGGCTGGCGGAATCGGGGGTTTCGAAGTCCGCCCAAAGAGTCCGAGTAATAGTATGTATAGTATATACTTGTGGGTCCCCAATATACTAAGTACCTACTACAACTAGGTTCCTGAGTAGCACCTTTATACTAAAGGTACCGCTTTTCCTACTTTCCGGCTTCAGTAAGGAGACCCTAAACTAAAAAGGGCAAAAGGGTACTACCCAGGAACCTAGGAGAAAGACCTTCAACCCCCATAGATTCCTTAAAGAACCTTTTAAAGGGCCCTTTAAGGAGCGCTTTAAACCCCAGGGATATCCCCATAAAATGCTTCTGCTTATATCCTTTTTGGGTCCCTAAACTTGGAGCCTTTTCGGCAGCAGAAACTGGCACTGCAAGGCAGGTCCAAGCCTTGATCCGGGTTTAGGGTTTAGGGTTTAGGGTTTAGGGTCCTTAAACCCTAAACCCTAAACCCTAAACCCTAAACCCCTAAACCCTAAACCCCTAAACCCTAAACCCCTAAACCCTAAACCCTAAACCGAATCTCATGCATCCGAGGCTCCACCGGGCACCGTCACTGCCCACGGCTTAGAGTTTAGGGCTTATTGTTTAGAGTTTAGGGCTTATTGTTTAGAGTTTAGGGTTTATTGTTTAGAGTTTAGGGTTTATTGTTTAGTTTAGGGTTTAGAGTTTAGGGTGATGAGTGATGAAACACCTCCACAGTAGGCGTTCCATAAGGTCTCGACAGGTCAGAGGGTGTCTGCACGAGGAGTCGTGGCAGACGTCAAAGGCGCCTATATATGCGCCTGACTGAGACGCACGTACCTCACCCAACGCCGACACGACGCTGTGCACGCTGCGCGCGTCCCAGGTTACGCCGACATCCGGATTAATGCAGGCCCTCACTCAAAGGCTGCCTCGGATCATGTGAGGGTAAGCCCCCACAGCCCCAACAAAACCAAAGCCCATGGCCTCGAGTTTACGGCCAGGGGCCAAACTTCGAACTTCTGAATCCCTATAACTTCTTAAATCCCAAATCCTACACCTTAGGAGCTGCCCCCACCCTGTAATAGTGACTATGAGGAATTATACTAGGGCCCTATTCTATTCCTATTCTACCACTATTACAGGGTGGGGGCCCCTTCTAACCTACACCCCTGCTTCAAGAAGGAGCGAATCGCCCCAAAAGCCGGTGCTCTTCTCCGTCATGCTGCAAATCCCCCTGCATGGTAATTGAACCCTTCATGTACACCCTAACTCAAAACCCTAGAGCCCCTCAAAACCCCATATATACATATACATACATAGCTAGATTAGCTAGATAGATACACACATACATACATAGATACATACATTTACACATATACTGGAGACCCTAAACTAAACAGGGCAAGAGGGTTCTACTCAGGAACTTAGTATATAAGGGTGGGGAGAGAGAGAGAGAGAGAGAGAGAGAGAGAGAGAGAGAGAGAGAGAGAGAGAGAGAGAGAGAGAGAGAGAGAGAGAGAGAGAGAGAGAGAGAGAGAGAGAGAGAGAGAGAGAGAGAGAGAGAGAGAGAGAGAGAGAGAGAGAGAGAGAGAGAGAGAGAGAGAGAGAGAGAGAGAGCGAGAGCGAGAGCGAGAGCGAGAGCGAGAGCGAGAGCGAGAGCGAGAGCGAGAGCGAGGCGAGAGCGAGAGCGAGGCGAGAGCGAGAGCGAGAGGGAGAGCGAGAGGGAGAGGGAGGGGGACGGGGAGGGGGAGGGGGAGAGGGAGAGGGAGAGGGAGAGGGAGAGGGAGGGGGAGAGGGGGAGAGGGGGAGAGGGGGAGAGGGATCATAAGAATAACTGTAATGCCCATAATCATAGTAATAACAACAGTAAGAGTCATAATCACAAAAGTAATAATAGTAGAAATAGCGACAATACTAATAATCGTGCGAATCATCGTAACAATAATATTAATACGACTGAAAATCACCATGTGCAAGAACCCCTCGCTCGCTGCCTGCCGCTGCTCCTCCAAAAGGTCCTTGACCAACTCGGGTCTGGAGAAGATTTCCAGCCTGGTGTGGGGTACTTAAAGGATCTATAGGGGGTCCTTAAAGGGATCTATAGGGTTTAGGGTTTGGGGTCTACTTACAGGATATGGGGCTTAGTAAGTGGGGTTATGGGTTCATGGGGTTCATCTTGGCCTTAACCTCAAATAGCCTTGCTTTTTGAAGGACTTATACACAGATATTTATTACCCAATCCCGAAAACGGTAGGCTTTAAAGGGTCCAGACGGGTTCACGGCCTAGGGCTTACGGTTTTGGGCGGGTTTGGATGTAAGCGGCCATTTAGCGTCAGGTGCAAAGCTGTTAGGAGGTTTTGTACGGCATAATTCCACTAAGCCTATTAGGGGTTCCGAAATGGACACCATGAAAGGCTCTTGGCTTGAGAGGCAAGAGCTTTACGGCATACTTCCCGAACCCCTCAACCCTAAACCTAAGGGGCCTGGGACAAATTGTCGTCGTGCACGAGTACTAGCAGCCCTGAGGGTCCATGTACCCAAAGTTTATAGGCTGTAGGGGTTTAGGGTTTGGCCCTAAAGTGCCTATGTAGGGACTGTTCCGAGGCAAAGTATATACTACTTGGGCATAGGGACCCTTAGGGCAAGTTGAGTCAAGAGCACTTAGGACTCAGGCGGCTTCGGAAGCCGAGCCGACGGTCCATCCCATCTCGTTGGAACTGTTGAGGGTACTGGTTCGGATTTCAGCAGGCATGTCCAATGTTATCGTAAACCCTCAACCCTAAACTCTAAATCCCAAACCGTAAACCCTAAACCCTGAAGGCACATCCAGTGTTATCGTCGCGTCCTGCGACCGTGCAGCATGTCCGATCTCGCACTCCCCTGGTAAGCAGAGTCGTGACAGCCCAGCCCTTCGCAGCATCCACTGCCGCTTCCTGCAAGTCGCACTCGAAGTCCTCGGCCGATGTGGAGCGCATCCATGCCGGTACCACCTGACTTCTGAGGTCGCGTGGTCAGGTAGCAGTGGGTCCGATCGCGTCATCGACTGTGATGAAGCGACCCCGTGCCACCCGTCGGCCACATGTCTCTTTCTGCAAGAAGTTGGCAAACGTCTTGGTTTAGGAATTAGGGCTTAGGAATTAAGGCATGGGACATGGCCATACTGGAGCAGCAGGTGTTCGGTCGTTTGGGTTTAGGGCCACTGATCTGTACCCAATTTGATTTGCCTGGCTTCGGGGCTGCAGTCCCCCTATGGCACCACGGCTCGGGCTCTTAACCCTCGGAAAAGGTCTGCTGGATGGCCTGATGGTTTGCCGCTGTGCTACACGCGAGAACTCCGCAAGGTGCGGATCCCCATGTTCTGGCTCCCCTACTTGTCGGGTATCAGGGGGAACTAAATCGGGCTCTCTGAACCAAAACTTCATTCCCTGGCCTTCAATAGGCCACCCTGAGCAAAGGTTCCTTCATCTAGACCCAAAAGCAGCCTAGGAACAAAAAGGGTGCCCTTTTTGGTTTAAAGTGGCTTATAAGGGAACCTGACCCCCAAAAAAGGGAATAAGGGCCTACTCTAGGTCCTAGTCATTGTGTTCTGTCCATCCTTCAACACTTGGAGGATCAGCAGAGCCAGTACCCTATGGCTCCATGTACCCATATGGAATATTTCTAGGCCTTAAAGCACCTATATAGGGACCCCTTTAAGGCTTAAGTATCCACTATAAATGTACATGGAGCCTTTGGGGTAAAGATGTTGCAGGCACTGTCAAAACTACGAAAACCCGAAACAGAGTGACGACAAAGCTGCCTATATCCAGTACTCTCATCCTACCACTGCGATCACCGCAAAAGGATACAGTCGAAGTAGCCTGACACTGTTCGTAGGGCCAAGAGCTTACTACGATGTCACACGGATGTTGTGCGAGTTCTAAGCGAAGACTTCGCATGCAATGTAGGGTTTAGCTGCAGGACTCTATCAACGGTAAATAATGGCTGACGGCATACAGCTTCGCTTACCCCCGGCCCAATTACGACCGCAAATGGTATTAGGGGACTTGTAGATGTTATCAGTACAGTAAAGACGCAGCGGGTACAGCTACGATTTGTAGGTGTGCGCAACATCCAAGTATAGGTTGTAGGACATTCGAAGGGTTTGGCACTGCTAGAGAATTTACGCGCTTGTGTAAATCGCCCTGGTCTCAAACCCAAGTACGCTGTTTCAAGGACCAAGGAAACACGAACAATACTAAACGGGCCCAGGCGCGTCGACCAGGAAGTCGTAATGGAGCTGTTGTGCATGCCTGCAGCGCAAACCCGCCAAACAAATTCTCTGGGTTGTAGTTTTGGGGCTCTGAAAAGTATTTCTGAAAGGTACCTCTACAGGAATCGGAACCATAATTGAAATTTTAAAAATTCCAAATTGCCACCTGGTTCTTGAATCTCAAACTAACCCGAAGCCCACAACCGCAGCCCTAACCCGAGCTCGAGATCCTAAACCCTCAACTAACCAGTGGTTTTAGGGGTTTCCTTGGCTCTTTAGCTCCTTTTTTAATAGGGATTATCATCATCCCTGGCTCCTTAGCTCCCATAATACCAATGGTTCCCTAAATCGTGAACTCTTAACGTGAGATCCCAAAGTCTCTAAAGCCTCGATTCTACACCCGTACACCGAGGCTCGAAATAGGGGTCATTGGTCTCAACATCAACATGAAACAAGAGAGCCCTAATCTAACAGTTAGACCCCCCGAAAGTATCCTGCTGGCAGCCAGCTTTGGATAAGCCGCTTCAATCCAAGGGTAAAAGGAGGGACCCTTAATAAGGACCCCTAGGTATGTACCCTTAATATAGCCATTATATACCCATTATATAGCCCATTATAGGGTAGGGGTCCTTATTAAGGGTCCCTCCTTTTCCCTTTTGATGCAATGTTCTCTACTTCTTGAGTTCAAGGGGTTGGACCGTTAAACCCAGGCCTCATTTCTTGCAGGGGCTTGGGATCATGTAGGGGCCTTGATACCCTAGGCATCCAAAGCCTCATATATGAAGGCTTTTGGGCCCAAAGACCATACTATGCAAGGCTTTTGAGCTATTTTGATGCCAAGGGCTAATTAGAATAAAACTTTGGGGGTATATTCTACGTAGACTGAGAAAGCTCCGGCTCCCCAAATAGTATTGGTAACTATTTATGCCTACTCAGAGGCTTTATAGTAGTTCTTCTTTTTTGGGGTTCATATTTAGAACCCTATAAGGCAATCTTAAAAAGGAATTGATTTGGGGGCCTATGGGTAAACCCTACTAAACCCTCAAACCCTGTAGTAACCAAGAGGGTCCATCACACTACTACTATGGAACTAGGTCCCAAAAACCATAATGGGGACGGTCTTTTGGGGCCTAATTCCATAATAGTAGTATATATGGACCCTCTGCGTAAGCTTTTAGCGCCAAGGATCCGCCGAAGAAGCCCGCGATCAAAAATCCCACGATCTCTTCATCGGTGATGGGCCGACCGTCAGGATAGGTCGAGTTCCTTCAGACTTCTGGAGTTTCTGGGGGCTGTGGTTTGGGGATGAGGCTTTAGGGATCATGGGTTTTTTTGATTATAGGGTTTAGGGATTATAGGGCTTAGGGTGTAGGGCTTCTACGCCGCAGATTGGTTAGGAACTGTTCGGTCGAAGGTTGACCTGGAGCCGGAAAAGATGCCGGTACCCAGACCTTCCACTATCCCTTAGTCCCATGATCCTTTAAGTAGGGTTGAGGGTTTAAGGTGCAGGTTCCATGGTTCAGGGTCTAGGGGCTAGGGCTCAGGGTTTAGAGGGTTTTGTGTTTTGTTCCAGGGTTTTTCCCAAACCTTCCACTATCCCTGAACCAAGGAATGTACCTTAAACCATACTAGGGGTCCTATGATCATTAAAACCATATTCCTTAATTGAGGGGTTTTGGAAAGTCTGAGTAGGGCTGAGGCTTAGCGCACCCAAACCCTAAACCACTGAGCTCTACAAGCAGCTAACCATTTTTGAGCTCGACAGAAATGTCTTCCCAAACACCTGCATCGCACTAGAACCACCGGAATGCCCACGTCCCAAAATGTCTTCCCGAATACCTTCATGGCAGCCCGGATCCTAAACTCTAAATGTCTTCCCCAAAGCCGGAAACCAAAACACACACCAAGCCCAAACCGTGAAGCCCCAGGCCCTGTGAACCGAGCTCATCGTCCGACAAGATCTTCACTCTTCTACGATGTAGGGTTTAAGGTTTGGGAGTTCGGGGGTTACGGGATATGGGTTTAGGGCTCATGGGATGTGATCAAGCTAATCCCAGCCCCCCAGAACCCTGCACTTTGCAGACTTAGCTACCTCGAAAGCAATTGCATCCTGAATCCTTACTTGGTATAAGTCCTCTGCCGGTAAACCCAAAAGTCGTAAACGTAAATCACAAAACACTATAGCACAACCACATGGCTTAGACTCTTTCATTAATGACTTGGCCTGCGAACAGCCTTGCGACACCAACACACACCAAGCCCTAAGCCCCAAACTTCCACATGGGTAGTTGTCAAAATGATTGTCTCTGATATTAGGTGCCGTATTATATTAAGGACCCAAAAACGAGACCCTAATTTGACAACCACCCACGTGAACTCCAAACCCATGGTAAAACCCACCGCAGGCTCACGGAAGCCCCTTATAGCACTCCTGTACAAATCCTATATAACCCTAAACCCCTAAACCCTTCAATCCTTAAGCCCTTAACCCTTAATCCTAAAGCTTAGAATTAAGGCTTGAGGGTGTCAGGATTTCGGGGTTTCTTAGTTGCTGAGTTCATACGCCCCACAAAGTGTACACTTTCAGTTGTATAGTGGGTAGTATTATCCCAAAAAGTGTAAAGTGTATCCACTCAGCTGCTAAGGTTTTGGTTGATATTAGGATTTGTACCGAAGCCCTAAACCTCAACCCTTAAACCCTAAACCTCGAACGCGAGCCCAGCTGCAGCACCGACTGCATGAAGTCTTTGGCGGAGCTGTCCTTACCGAGACCCAAAGCAGGCTCCAAAGCATATGGTCTGAGGGTTCCTTAAATGGATCGGTGTAGGGTTCCTTAGAGGGATCTATACGGCTCCAAAACAAGTGGTCTGAAAGGATCCCAACTTTAGGGCTTAGGGTTTAGGGTTCTACATAGGTTTTGGTAGGGCTTTATAGAGGTCTATACCGTATGGGATCTGTCGTGACTGCTCGACCCGAGGAGTTGTTGGAAGAGATCTGGCACCAGCTATCATGGGATGCACCTGTGATGAAAACGGGCCATTCCTTTACATACTTTTCGAAAGGGGGGGAGGGTTGTGGTACATAGCCATCCACAGGGTGAAACCTCATAAGCAGAAGCTTACCTGTTCCCAGACCTCTTAATGATCTCAACTAGCATTAACATGCTAGGATAGGACCAACTGGGAGCTGTAGGTAGAGATCCTTTACCGTAAGGGTCCATGTGCCCGAACTGTATTATATACTTTTGCCCTTCAAGTCGTCGTTATACATGTACTTTAGGGTCAAAACAGATACTCGTAATTCCTCTTAAGCCCGATGAGGGAACCTGTAAAATATCCCAGCGGCCTAAGCAAAGCCCGAAACCCAAAACCCCTTACACGAGCCCTTTTTCAGGAACCCACCTAAACCCTAAAGCCTTCTCAAGAGCCCCGTTGTAGGAACCCTAAACCTTACTTGTCCAATATCCTAAGAACTAAAGGACTAAGAAGAGTTCCGACGATACTGGGTGCGATGTCGAGGCGGTAGTTCTTGACCTCCTGAAGGACTTCTTTTTTGAGTCTCAGGGCATACTCCCACTTCGACCGATAGTCACCCGGCGTCTCGTTCGTTTCCACGGTGCTGCCCTCCAGATATTGCATCATCCTCTTCCTACCCGTTGATGGTTTCCCACACATGCGGGTTTGACAGCATCACGAGGAGCCCAGCCAACCTGCGGCGCGTCTCGCAGGCAGAAAGCGTGCATCGGGGTGTCTGAGTATGTGTCGTTGAAATACATCACGTGGCAGCCACGTTTTTGCCAGCAACGTCGTCATCGTGGCATACGCGCGTGCCGCTCGACCCATTGGCTGCGGGACTGGCAAACAGCACTTCGGTGTGCCGGAAGGGGCACATAGCCACATCACTGGCTTCTCAAGGTTGATTGCGTCTGCTGTAAGCACGACTTCAAGAGCATTCCGCTAAGACCTCGAACCCTAAACCCTAAACCCTAAACCCTTTCTTATAGCCCACCGGCCCGGCACGAAAGGCATGCCATGACACGAGTCTATGGGAATCGTATTTGTTCATACGGACTAACATCGGTTTAGGGTTTGGGGTTTATGGTCGGTTTGTTGAGGGGCTCTGTCTTGTAGATGCTTCCGGGATTCCCGGAGCTTGGGCAGGATGCCACGATAAACCCTCAACCCTAAAACGAGTTAATAGAAGGTTACCTACTCTACTTTAGAAGGGGCCCACACTCTGTAATAGTGATATAAGGAATATTTTAAGGCCCTATTATATTCCGATTATACCACAATTACAGGGTGGGGGCCCCTTCTAAACTCTACTCTACTACTAATCTGAACTCTATAGGAACCCTTAAAACTGGAGATTTTCGGATCTGGAGCCCTCTGAGGAGCCCCTTTGGGGCTGAGTACCGTCGCCCAAAAAATTAAGGCTTCAGGCCTTAAGGGTTTAGAGGTTTTAAGGTTTTTTTTTTTTTTTTTTTATGGGCCCTTTTCGAACTGCAGAACAGTTAGAATTCCTGTACTAGGAGGTTTTAAGGGTTTTAGGGTTTAGAGGTTCTACGGGTTTAAGGGTTTAGGGGCTTTAAGGGTTTAAGGGTTTAGGGGTTTTAAGGGTTTCAGGGTTTGGGGGTTTTTCAGGGTTTCAGGGTTTAGGGGTTCCAACACTCACCGGCCCAAAACCCAAGGAAATAAACGTTGAAAAATTCAGAATCGACTACCTTATGGGTGCTTGTCAAATTCATAGTCCCTTTTTTTTTTTTTTTTATAATGCGGCGTCTAATATTTGGGGTACCCAAACAGGGACCCTAATTTTGACAACTACCCTTAGAAGAACCCAAAAAGTTGAAAAGTTGAGTTTACAGCCAATAAGAAGTTTAGCCTTTTCAAATATGGTAGGATTGTATAAACCCCTTTACAGGTTAAAGGTTACCTACTCAGCTACTAAGTGTTATAGAAGCCCTTATGGAGACCCTATGAAGCAACCCCGAAAGATCCCTTCAAGGATCCCTTTTAAGGAAGCCTTACTTAGACCCAAAAAACCTTAAAACCCTAAACCCTAAGATCCTAAACTCTAAACCCAAATGGAACCCTTATAGTACCCTTTAACCGAATCCTAAGAAACCTAAGGATCCCTTTTCATTTTCAGGAACCCTTACATAAACCCTCAAAACCCTAAACCCCCCTGTCCTTTTAGAAACAATAGACAGAGCCCTATACCTATATCCCTTAGTAGGAATTGTTTAAGAAGGTCTACTACCCGGTCTGTTTATTCTTTTGGGGGAACCGTGAAAAAGGACAAGGCTGACCCTAAACCCCCAAACCATAGAAACCTTCAGGATCCCTTTTAGGGCTCCCTTTTAAGGATCCCTTTTCAGGAACCCCAAAGCGCAGCGAAGCCTCGCCCTTTTCGCGTCGCAGCTGCCTGAGATCTTCGGCCGCTTTTGTCACTTTTGGAGTTAGGGGTTTCCTTCAAGGGATCTTCGGATTCCCAGGTTCCTTCAAGGGGATTGTGTCGGAATTAGGGTGACGGGATTAGGGCTTCATGGGTTTAGGGTTTAGGGTTTATAGGGTTTAGGACATAAAGGCTTTATAGTAAGCCCATAAACTTGGAAACCGGATTAAGGCCAAATAGTGCTGGGATTCCCTAAACATTACTCTTAAGGGTTGAGTCTATGGGGTTTCCAACTTTTGGGTTTCTGCAGTAAGGGATCGTCGGGTCCCTAGGGCTCCTTTAAAGGATCTCTAGGATTTAGGGTCCTTTAGAGTTCAGGATTGATCATTGAGGGTTTGGGGTTTAGGGCGGCTTTCTGGGGTTTAGGGTTGAGGGCTTTTGGGGTTTAGAGCTTAGGGCTTTTGGAGTATAGGGTTTATGGTTTTGGGGTTTAGGGTTTTGTTTGCTGTTTGTGAGACGTTAGAAGGCTTGGAGTCTGGACTCAGGGTCTAGGGTAGAGCTTAGCTCGGTGTCTCTGGGGCTTGTCGACCTGAGAAGGAAACCACTGTCTAAGGGTAAGACACTAGATTGAGCGGTCACTAGCTACTAGCTTGTAGGATTTGGGGTTGCACGTAGTGTCTGGGTTTAGGAGTTTGGGGTAGCATTTAGGGCTTAGGGTGCTTAATGGTCTTGAAAAAAAGGTTCACTCAGCGTTCTACAATAAAAGTTCTTCAGCGGATTTAGGGGCTTGTATCCCAAGATGGCTTTCTGTTGGATGTGTCTTTTTTCAGGGCGCTAGTGTTCTAATGTAATGTGTTCAAAACCCAGGCTAGATATGCGAAGAGTCACGAGTGTGCAAAGTTAGCCACCCTTACCTCACTGGCCCAAAACCCAAGGACATAAAAGTTGAAACTTTCAGAATCCACTGCCTTGTAAGAACACCGAAAGTTGAAAAGCTCCTTTAACCCTCAACCGGTATACAATGGTTAACCTAAAACTCCTAGAGCCGTGACGCTTTTTCCTGAATGAATAGCACACATGGCGGTGGAGGCCAACAGACCGAAGGATAGCTTCCTCATATCATCTACTAAAACTACCCTAAACCCTAAACCCTAAACCCTAAACCGCCATGCCTGCTGATCACCCACCCAAGAGTCGGTTTATACGGGGAGCCTTAATAATTGGAATAGGGCGTTGGGCCCCAAATACAGGAATTAAGATAAGGAAGCCCCAAAATAGCATAGAAAATTAACAAGGCCCCTATGGTAGAGTGGGACTTGGCAAGAGGGTGGTCAGTAATACATGGTAATTACCCAGCCCTTCCAAAATCCCTTAAGTAAGGAATATACCTTAAATTATAAAAGGATCCCTACTCTGAATTAAGGTATATTCCTTAATTAAGGGATGTTAGAAGGTCTGAGTACCCAAGCTCCAAACTGCCCAGGCACAGAATTGGCTGGATCAACTCGTGCAGTAGTCGCCGGGCCTGGTGTTCAGCAACATTGAGGGAGTATCTTCAGCAAGAGTATGACATGTTTTGGTTTTACTAGGCTTCCTCGCTTTTTAGGGGTTTAGGGTACGGGATCTGAAGTCTCTTAGTCTCTTAGAATCTAATTAGTATTACTGCTAGTACTAGTGTACTGGTGCTAGTGTACGTTTGCAGCCCAATGCTGTGTGCACGACACACAGCCTAACCTGAACGACGGTTCATACCCAAATCCCCAAGGGTCCAAGTACCTAATATAATCTGGGCTTTGAAGTAACCAGGGAGGATCAAGTATAGACTTGTTTTTTTCATAACCGGTTCCCTTTAACTAACAGGTCCCCAAAAAAGTATTAAAGTACCTAAACCCTAAACACTAAACCCTCAACCCTTACTCCTAAGCCCAGTAGGAGGCTTGTCGTCGAAGAGGCGTACCTGAACTGCCAGAAACGCAGCGGAAGAGTTCGACCCCTGAGCCACCTGATCCCTACGAACCCTTAAAGGGCTCCTTAAAGGGATCTAAAGGGCTCCTTAAAGGGATCTAGAGGGTTCCTTAAAGGGATCTATATAGGGTTTAGGGTCTACTTGGAAAATCTATAAACCTACTTGTCGGGTCTCATGGGGAACTAAAGGTTAACCTTTTTGGTTATATAGGGATTATATAGGGGCTATACTACCCAAAAGGTTAAAGGTTGCCTACTCTACTACTAGGCTCCAAAATCCTAACCTCCATAACTACTAGCCAAAGATACCCAAACCGCCTAAACACTCAACCTTTAATCGAGACTTAGACGACCAAAAGTAACGACAATACTTGCCCGACACCCATAGAATGCTGTTTTAGTGCATACTTTGAGGGTTCGGGGAGCTCTTAACCCGTAAACCCTGAACCCTAAAAACCAAACAGCCTGACCACTTGGAGGATCATGGGACTTAGTAGGGTAATAAGTATAGTTACCTTCTTTACAACCCCACTTACTAAGCCCAATGATCCTCTAAGCGCCCCTTGGCACCTCGTCAAACCTGAAACCAAAACCCCCAAACCCCAAATACCCTAAACCCCTAAAACCCCAAATACCGTAAACCCGAAACCCTAAACTCCTAAAACCCCGAATACCCTAAACCCTAAACCCCACCCTTTGGCACCTCGTCCCTCTCCCGGTGGCGCTTGATGGGTGCTTTCGGCCAGAAGACCGACATCGGCAGCATCCCTGGCAGGCTCAGGGTTTGGTTTAGGGGTTTAGGGTTTAGGGTTTAGGGTTTAGGGTTTAGGGGTTTAGGGTTTAGGGTTCTTGGGGCTCCGGCGCTCTAAAATCACAGCAACAGCAACAATGAAACCACATATGGGTCTCATAATATTCATACCCTTGAAAGTAACAGAAACAATGTTAATGATATCAAAAAAGTATTAATATAACAATAAGGATACTACACAAGTAACCAACCACTAGGCTTGGGTTCTTTGGCAGCGGCCCCGGGAAATCGACCTAAACATTCAATTCAACTCTGAACCCTGCAGCACCAGACTGGATCAAAAGGGGGGATTAGGGTGTAGTGTTGGGGGGGAGCTGCATCAAAACGCCGGGAACCATCTAATCCTGAGAACTGCTCGATTTGCCGGCCTTTCTCGAGCACATGCAACAGTTCCTCGGTCCCCAACAAAATACGATGTGGCTCTCACAGGTCAGGGTTTAGGGTGGGTTTGGGTCTGGGGCTTAGGGTTTAGGGTTGCGAGGGTTTTGGGCCCATAGGTTGTATGATTGAGTTGCAAGGTCTTTCGAGGTTTGACTTAGGCTTTGTGCGCTGGTGGGTTTATGTGTAGCTTACGGTTTAGGCCGTTACGGTTCGGGCATAGGGTTGGGTTTGGGGCCATTTAGGGGGTGTAGATGAGGGTCTCGACAACATCTGACGTCATAGATGCGCACGCTGACCCGACAGCCCCGACATAACATAAGCGTTTGAATAAGAAGCCACGCCTTCACATGGATCCTTTCAAGAAGCCGTAATCTACCGCAGAACATACGGTGGTGGTGCAGTGTTTGTTGACACTCTGTGTTTTGTAGTGGTTTAGGAAGTCTGTACCGCGGACAAACCAATCCTAAGCGCCCTTTTCACGGGAGTTGCTCTCGACATCCTCATGTCCTCAATGGTTAAATAACAAACTTTCCTAAAAAAACCATTGCAGATGCAAGGGCATATGGTACGAGCTACTGAGAAAGGTCAGTCCAAGAAGGTTCAGATAGGTTTTCAATTCCTATACTCTAAAGCGTACACCGGCGCGACCCTAAACCCTAAAGCCAAACCCCAGCCCTGAAACTTTGTCTTCCGAGCTGCAATGATACTGGGCTCGTCGGGGCTTTTCTCCATCCTGGGCCGTTCTGGAAGCTTACAGTCTCGATTTAGGGTTCGCAAACTTAACTAAAACTTAGAGGTAACCCTAAGGGTTCATGTACTCAAATGGTATGTACTTTGGCCCCAAAGTACCCGAATAGGGACTGCTGTAAGGCCAAAGTATATACTATTTGGAGGGTACATGGACCTTTTGTAACTGATTAGGGAAACTTAACGGTAACATTGCAACAGCTTCAGTTCATTCAACTGCACGGGCTATATTGTTGGCTGAGCTGGATCGCAGCAACCAGGGAAAACAAAAAGTATGAGCATCTAGTTTATGGTGACTCCTTGAACGAGCTGGTCCAAAGCACGGTAATAATAAGCTATGGCACTCCAAAACTCAGGTAAGTGTCTACTCGATTATGAACTTCACGCTCAATATGCCAAATCTAAAGAATACAGTGTCGACTCGAAAGATAGGTCCAGAACTCCCAAACCCTTTACCCAATCTACAGACCAAGTTGCACGTACAGATTCTGCCCACCCGCCTGCCTGCCTAGCTGCCTACCTGTCTGTCTGGATATCTGCATGTGGCCTGCATTTTGTATGTCCTGATGAGTATGTCAACGTACGTATGTACCTATGTACGTATGTATGCATGTATGTATGTATGTATGCATGCATATGTAGTGCATGTGTGTCTGGATCTTCTGTTTCCGACCACGGCCACTCTCCAAGGATCACGGTCTCCGCATCGTCGATTGCCGTCCTGGCATCCCCCTCGTCCTGGGGTGACACAGCTCTTTCGAGCAAGTGACGAGCCATCTCGTTGAAGACGGCGAAGAGTCGCAGGATGGGTTGCGACAACGGGTACCGACTGTTGTGGAAGACGAGACCCCTTCCTCCGTTTCACAAATGGTGGAGTCGCTCCGTCTTCTCGTTTCCTCTTCCGGGGCGGTGTCGCGACATCCATGGCTTCCAGGACGATACTTTTTTCTGAGAACAAGTATTGGAAGCGGCATCCCATGTTCCTTGGCCATGACAGAAAGCTTGCAACTGCTTCACCCATGTCATCATGAAGCAAACCCTGGAGATCAAGCTGTCAGATTGCTGCTTCCTGGTGTGAGCTCGCGGCTGCAAATACTCATGAATAGCTCAGACGCCTGCAAATTCTATCGAATGCGCTGAGCCCAACGAAATGTCAAAGTGTGTATTTATGTATATATACGTATGTCCGCGTCACACATACACTTACACGTATACGTACACTTGCATGTCCACATGCGCATGCACATACATTCATAGCTTGTCTGCCTCTGTGCACCCACACACTACCAACTTACCTTTGGTTAGTAGGGAATGGAGGAATGGGGTATAATTATAACTACTATTACTACCATTCTTCTAGACCCAAGAGTAGCCTAGGAATAAAAAGGGTGCCCTTTTTGGCTTAAAGGGGCTTATAAGGGAACCTGAACCCCCCAAAAAAGGGAATAGAGGCCTACTCTAGGTACCATTCTTCCATTCCCTTCTAACCAAAGGTAAGCTAAGAGCAGCCCAGCGTCATCCTCCGGCGAAGCTCGTGGCCCATGAGACACCGGATGCCTTGCTTCGGGAAAACTCAGAGGCCTGGTTCTGTCATGTAGTCCAAAAGACATATGAGTATACATTGACCCTAAAGTACATGTATAGGGACTACATTAAGGCCTAAGTATTACTGCATGAGTACACGGACCCTTAGGGTAAGGTTGAGGGTAGTTCTCTCATTTTCCATTTCCCCTATCTAGGTCCCCAAACTAATGCGGCACCCCTATAAAAAAATCACATGTCAAAAGAAGTCGGAAGTTAGAGAACTACGCATTAAGGGTTCAGGCTTTAGGCTCAGGCTAACGCGACTTAGGGATAGGTGTGTAGGAAGTCATCAGGAGTGTAAGGCTTGTGGGTTTTCGTATATATATATATATATATATATACAAATACATATCTATTATGTGTATGTATATATGCATGTATGTATGTATGTATGAATGTACGGTTATAATTATGTATCTATGCATATACCCTCGAACCCCAAATCCAAAACAATGCCTCCAACCTGGGACCCAAAAGACCCCAGCCCTACCGTCTCTGCCCTGAACCTGTTGGCCCTGAACCCATAAACACCGAACACCTAAAACCGTCGAGCCCTAAACCCGCCCGCGCCAAGCCCCCTGATGCAGCTCCGAAGCTTGTGCGCGTAAGGAGCTCCTTCCAGAGGATGACTCCACCAAGGTCATTAGCCCTTACTCGGGCTCCTATGAGGGAGTGCCTTTTATAGTGGTTTAAAATCTATATATGGTGTTTAGAGTTTAGGGTTTTGGAACTTAGGAAGTTGAGGATTCAGAACTTAGCATGTTTAGTCTTTAAGCTGCGAATCTGTTCGTTCGTCTTGTGTAAGTGGTCCATAATGAAGAGGCACTGGGCTGTGTGGACCAGGACCAGCGTGTTTTTGGGCTTTGAGCTTAGGAATTATATGGCTTGAGGTCTCTTGAGCCCCAACAGATACCGAAACGCAACAAAATATACCTTGCAGTTTGAGATACGTAAAAGCCTGGGATCTAGGACCGCCAAAAAATTCTCCTGTTTCAGGCTGTAGGGTCTCGAACCCAGAATGTACCCAAACAGTCCTGATGCTTCTGTGCTACCCGAAAATGGTTATAGGTTCTCAAACAGCAAAACCCGTAGCAGATACCCTCCAAATCTATGGTAGGACTCATGGTTGTCCTTATAGTTGCAAACCGGATTAAGGACGAATAGTCTGGGAGTCCGTATACATTACTCTAAAGGATTGAGGCTATCGGGTTTCCAACTTTTGGGCTTCTACTGTATAGTGTGGGGCCTCTAAATCCCCTATATATCCTCTCGCACTCTTCCGAAGCCCTCGAGTAATCGACTCCTACAGTAACCTTTCTGGTCTCGCTTTGTATGACATGTAGACAAAGAACTAAGTATGCTTTCACTCTGAGATCCCACGTAAGAAGGCCCTAAACCCCAATTATAAACCCTGAACCCCAAATAGCCTGCCTTTGTAAGGACTTATATTATGAGGAAACAATAAGTACGATCCCTAACAAGGAAGGGTTGTATAGGGTCCAGGCGAACCAAAAAACGCTCACCCGCCGTAGTATTGGAACCCCTATGAATCCCTTAAAGGAACGCTAAAACCAGAACAGCATAGACCGTAAACCCCACATTCCAAACCCAACAACCGAAGACTCTGATCTTGTTCTAAGGATTTCTTACAAGTTGTGTCAGTTGTGTTGCAGGACTTTTACAGCTTAGGGCTTGGGGGTTCGCTTTTTCAAAATTTGACCAGGATTGTCGTTTAGAATGGAGGCCTAGTTGCAAGCGGCCCTGGGGTATGTTGCAATGAACCTATTGATTAATGCATATTATATTGGGGCTACAAGGGGATTCAAAGAGCCGTCAAGCCTAATAGACTGGGACTTGAAGAACTAGTAACACTTTCCCTTAACCTTAGAGTTACGGTTCCGGAACACTTTTCTGTACCGTCTGTTGGCCCTAAGCCCCGGTCCTGCATGGACTCGCGGATGTCAATCGTGCCAGAATCACCCCAGCATTCCTTAGTGTTCTGCACTTTGAAGTAGCCAGGGGGAACGACGTATCAACTTGTGGTTCATAATGGTCCTTTAAGGAGCACTTCCAAAAACGAGCATTCAAGCATGGTACTCCAGAACTCAGTTTTGGGATTAGGCCGCATGGTCAGGGGCTGTAGGGTTGGCTCTTCGTGAAGACTCTCACATTTCCTAATCCATCCAGGCTTCAGCAATGCACCAAAGATCTTCACACGAAGTAATATAGGGGCCTTAATAATTGGAATAGAGTTGCGGGGCCCATTATACTCTACTTCTAATAAGGATCCTCCAAAAAAATATTGGTAATTACAGTATATTTAGGCCCCTATATGACTCGCGAAATATCCGATAGGCCTATTTCGGCTCCGTTCGGGCTTCAGGGTTAAGGGCACTCCAATACTTGCCCAATGGAAACACAACGTTAGACCCCTTAGTATAATCTTCGATTGCAGGGACAAGAAGCTGAATAGGCATGCCCCAAACCTTCATTCAACCACTCGGAGGATCACGGGACTTTGTAAGTAAGGTTAAGTACTTTAATTTGGATTATGAGTAGCTATAAGTATAGTTACCTTATTTATAACCCCACTTACTATATAAGTCCCTTGATCCTCCAAGCAAGATTGAAGGCTGGATGGGGGAGAACTGAGTCCAGCGCTAATGCTGAAACCACATTCGACAATTTTCAAGGCTTAGAGGTACTGTTTAGGGTTCCGGGTTCAGGGGTTTCATTCCTGTCCTGATGCTGGTTCGAGGACGAATGCTGAGAAGCTAGTCCAAACATAAAGACTTCTCATATAATATCTTCTCAATTGCGGCCTGCAGCCATACACCTGATCCCCTGAACCTGGTCCAACTCAGAATGGTTATTACAAGGGGCAGCGTTTCGCTTAGTCGTGAGCCCAAGTTCGAGGATTGCGAAAGTTTAACTGCGCCCGAAGCCAGACTCCCTCGTGCCCCACCTGCCGCCCCGCCAAAAGTCAACCACTGCTGGACGCCGCTTCAACTGGACTTTGAAGTAAGCAGGGCGAAATCGCATAAACCATGATTTCATACTGGCTCCTTTAAGGAACACGTCCAAAAAAGTATTCAAGTATAGTACTCCAGCAGCTACCAGGAGGTTCATAGTAGAACAACCATAGTTCTAATCCATGATTGGGGACGTATAACCCCACTATAAACTACAAACGCCATGAACCCCCAAGCAGTGAAGCGGCGTTAAAGAATTGAACGACCTCCTCCTCGAGGATGCCTCTTGCCACGACGGGATTGGAATTTGGCTTGCGCGGCCCCTATGAAGCCTGCATGTTAAGGAATCATTATCGAATTACTTTGCAAAAGTCATCAAAAAGGTAGAACATTTGGGCTTCACGTAGGGCTTAGAGTTGGGAGTTTCCGATAATTAGGGGTACCTTTTTGGGATCCTTACAATAAGGATCCTACTATTTGCGGTACTATTGTGGGCTCCCCTATTTCGTAAACTCACAGTTCAAGAAGTCTACAGGGATGGTTAGGATCCTTGCCTGTACTCAGGGCGAGACTGGAAGTCCTCAACTACTTGGGTTCAGAGTACCATACTTGAATACTTTTTTTGGTACCTGTTCCTTAAGGACACCATTGTGAAATAAAAGTCTATACTTTTGTCTCCCTGGTTACTTCAAAGTCCGGACTAGGTAGCGATTTCAACAGCCCCCCAAGCTATTCATGATTAGGGATCTATATTTAACAACAGGGGGGAAATTACACATTATCCCAAACCGATACCTAGTTCAAAGTAGGCGAAGTTGCTTCGAGGAGCCGGAAAGCTTCTTTGAAGGGTCTTCAGAAGGGTTCTGATGAAAACTTCCAGGGCCCGGGGTACGGGTTCAAGTTCCAGGTGCACAGCTACTTGGAGGCCCTTTTGACTTAGTAAGTAGGGTTAGTAAGGTGGGTTATGGGGATTATAATGGGGTTTCTAGGGGATACTAAGTAGACTTACTAAGTCAAAAGGGCCTCCAAGTATCCGGCAGAACCGAACATTGAGAATTGTGAGTCCTGCGAAACCGTCAAGCGACAACAAATAAAGGTTTGAACCGTAACACGTCGGGGTTCAGGGTTGACAAAGACATGTTAAGCCGTAGATGCTGAACTACAGTCCCAAGGCTCTGAGCCAGACAAGACCTAAACCCGAATCCATAAGCTCTAAACCCAAAGGCCTGTATAGGAGCGCAGGTAATCATCTGTAAGCCGCTCGCCTCAGCGGCTCGGCTCTAGGATTTGAGTTTAGGATTCGGGGCTCTGGCTTTTAGGATGCTATGGTCCTTAGGGCTGTCGGAGTTAGGTTAGGGTTTAGGATTTAAATTTATAGTTTGGGGCGTTATGCTTTAGGTGCTTGGGCCTTAAGATTTCGGCCTAGACCTAACAAGCTTCATGCCCTCGCTAAGTGGACACCTTCCTGGACTCAGGCACATGCAGCACTCATGCGGGCGTAAGTAGCCTTACGTAAAGTATACCTGACCTTGTCACCCTTTCCCGGCTTACTATCCGATGCCATGGAACACCAATCTTTTAACCCCAAAGCCCTTACAAAACCCCAAATCCTAAAGTCCTAAACCCTACACCACCCTAAACCCCAAATCCTCAAAGCTTTTCATCATCTGCTGACACCCCATTGAATGAGTTCGCAAGAGAGAGCTTGTCAAACACAACTCGGCTCAGCTCAACTGAAGGAGCCAAATTGAGCGTGGCACGTGTCATGTATGAAGTCTGAATGACGCCAGGTCTGCCAGACCTCGTGATTGCGGCGCAGCAGAACAAAAGTGCGAAGGACATTGCGACCGTCCCAGTGGTCACAGAAGATCGAAGCTTTGCTCCTGTGGGGAGCGCTCCGAGTGTTGATCCGAGGTCGTGGAAGGTTTGTTGAAGATGCGGGAGATCTTCCCTCTCCACAAGGGCCTCTTCACCCCCTGTCCATTCGCAGATGGACTCTGTAAAACATGCTCGCGAGGTGCCTAAGCTTTTGAATGTAGATGGGCGATTCCCACCTCGGTCACCAGCCCGCAGCAGGCCTGAGCCTGTCAGCAAATGTTCAAGTGCAATCGCTGTCAGGGCTCCTCCGAGTGCTACCTTGAGGGTGTAATTGGAACACCAATCTTTTAAGGCCACGTTTTCGTCCCCAGGGGATACAACTCCTAGACATTTAGACCTGCATGTAGTCTTAGGGCTCATGAACTTAACCAAGACCTGTGACCCCAAACCCTACAAAATAGTAGGTCATGACCCCCTGATTATAAGGTCTAACCCCTGAAACAGTAGGTTTTTCGATCCCCAGGTAATGCTTATTTTGGGTTCAAAGCTTGAAAACTTCAGGTTCTGCTTGGAGGATCATGGGACTTAATAAGGTTATAAAAAAGGTAACTATACTCTTATACGTACTGATAACCCCAATAACGGTACTTATAACCTTACTTACGAAGCCCCATGATCCTCCAAGTAGAGTTGAGGGGTAGACTCGTAGAGGCCCAGGGGTTTCCGAGGAGCTTGTGGAACCCTAGGTTTGGGGGTTTGGGTTTAGGGTTTGGGGGCTTGGGTTTAGGGTTTGGGGGTTTGGGAGTTTGGGTTTGGGGTTTAGGGTTTAAGGGTTTAGGGGTTTAGGGGTTTAAAGTTTATTTAGGGTTTCGGGTTTAGGGGTTGAGGGTTTAGGGGTTTAGGGTTTCGGGTTTACGGGTTTATGGGTTTAGTGTTTACCTGGGGGTCATACCCAACCCCGTTTTTGTGGTACCTACCGGTCTGAATAACAGATCCTAGCCCTACAACGAGGTACCATAAAACAGGGGTAGAGTAGGAGCCCCTAGGTAGGGCTCAAATGCACTATCTTTCAGCCTGTGCTTTGAGTTTCATCGCATGCACTATACCCTAAGGGTCCAAGTACCTAATCATCATTTACTAATTATCCTAAATATTGAGAAACATATCTACTATCCTAAACCCAATATGTAATTATTATTGGGTCCTTTGGACCCTCAATTAGGAATACGATGGAGACCTTACTTATGAACCAAAAACAACCTGGCAATGCGAATAGTTAGGGGTAAATCACGTTATAGATACTTCGACATGGTTGATGTAGTAAAATACTTTTATTGAAGTGGCATTGGCCTCTTTAGACAACACCAGAAGTCAGGATACTCTTACTTAGTGTTCCCTGAGCTTTATGAAAGCCTCGTAAATCCATAGCAAAATACCCTGCTACATAAGCTACTGGACTCCCAACCCTATGCCCTAAACCCCTAACCCCCAAACCCTAAACCCCTAAACCCTAACCCCCTAAACCCTGAACCCCTCAGCCTCTCATGGAATGTTGAAATCCGAGCGTCGGATGAAGCGAAGCTGGCATGTTCGAGTGGAGTAATCCACGTCGTAAAGCACCTAGAGACGACTTGCCTTACGCCCCGGGTGCTTTTTAAGGGACCTACAAAGGTTCCTGTAAAAACGAATATTAAGGGGGCAGCGGTTCAGGGTTTACCTGGACCCTACAACAACCACCGTTATTAGGTTCTTTGGGGTTTAAAATAAACCCCAAACATGCGATGGATGCTTAGGGTTATTGGAGTCTACGGTTTAGGCGCTGTGGTGCTAGTTCAGAGAACCACCGGTTCTTTGGAACGGTCGCATGTGAAAGGGCTGCACATAAACACTTCGAACGACGGTTGACTCTTCTCTTAGAAGGTTTGCCGAAGTAGTTTCATACATGCATACGTACATACATACGTACATGCATACATCCATACATGCATACTTACGTACATGCATACACGCATACATGCATACATACGTGCGTATGTATGGGTGTATGTCTGCATGTATGTATGCATGCATGCATGCATGCATGTATGTATGTAAGTATGTGCAGGTACATGTGCATGTCCATGTATATGTATATGCATATGTACATATCTTAATTTTCATATGTATATGTGTATGTGTATGGGTAGGTATGTCCCTATCTCCGCTCGCAGTCTGAACTGGAGGCCTAGATCCTCCTCAGAAATCCAGCTTTGCACCCCTCCCCAATGCAAACCCTACCTGTCGGGTATCATGGGGAACAAGAGTAACTAAAGGTTAACCTTTTTGGTTATATAGGGATTATATAGGGACTATACTGCCCCAAAAAAGGTTAAAGGTTGCCTACTCTACTACAAGGCAAACAACCCCAAAACCATCCCATGAGAACCCGAGCAACAAAGGGCTTACCTGGACCCCCAAAGAACCTACCGTTTTAAGGGTTCCCTAGTATGATATAAGTCCTTAGTATGATATAAGTCCTTAAAACGGCAGGTTATTTGGGGTTAAGGTCGGACCTAGGATTCAGGGTTTGAGATTCAGGGTATCCGCAAGCTAGCCCCAAACCCGCACGAACACTGAAACCCTCGGCTTCGTGCCTTGGGGCCGAAAATTGGTACCTTGGAAGGGCTCTCGGGCTCCGCATTATGACGGTTCTACACTCAAAGGGTCCTACGGCTGATGGACAAAATCCTGCATTACCCATTATAAGGAATATACCATAATTCCCATAGTTTAGAGTCCTTAGGGTCATGCAGGATTTTGTCCATCAGCAGTATGTACTGTCATGGGGAATACTTCCCTAAGTCACAATAGTAATTCCTAATATGGAAACCCTACATTCTAATATATCGGTACATAGGACCCTTCGGGACACTCATTTGAAGGTACTTTCGCGGCTTCCACCAGGTGATCTTTCCGGGTTACTGTACAATTTACGGACGGTGGATTGAGGATTTGAGGTTTCTGGTGCAGGGATACACTGATTGGTTAAGGTTTGGTGGGTTGGAGGTTTTAGCTTCGTAGGGCGCGGGGCTTCTAGGGTATGACGATTTCGGAACAACAAAAATAAAAAAATGGGCAGCGATATCTTTAACCTCTAGACCCAAGCCCGGCGACACCGTAGGCTGTGACCCTTGATTCCAATTTGTACTTGGGGTTCTTGGTGGTTTTCCGCAGGGCTCCTCAGGAAACTTGGCTTAGTTGGGTGTATCATGGGGATATTAACGGATAGTAGCTAGAAGGGGCCCTCACCCTGTAATAGTGGTATAATAGGAATATAATAGGGCCCTAATATAATCCCTATAGTCACTATTACAGGGTGGGGGCAGCTTCTAAGGTACTACTTGGAGGGTCGGGGGACTTAGTAACTGCTTATTTTCGGGACTTATAAGTACCATAACCCCAATTAGGGTCCCTTTTAGGGTACTTATAAGTCCACTTACTACCTACTTACTAAGTCCCCCGGCCCTCCAAGTAGTCATAAAGGAGCCCTGCTTCATAGAAGTCCCAAGCAGCTCCAAAGGGTGCAACTAATACTTTTTTAGCGACCTTAGACCCCAAAGTGGGTACCATGTGTAAACCCTGGGTACGGCCCCCATACGGTAACAGTCTATAAGTGGCCTACTATTAAGGGCCTTATGTATCTGCATTATGAATATTATCCAACTGTTACTGAGTGGGGGCCGTACCCAGTGTAAACCCAGAGTCTTAGGGAAAGAAGGGCCCAAAGCCTAAAGCTCAAGCCGCGTCTGTGTCAGAAGCTGCCTCAAAGGTCCTGACCCTCACTGCTTGGGTCTTGGACTTTATAGGGTTGAAAGTCTCGGGTTTCCCGGGATTGTATAACAAAGCTTCCCCAAAGGGTCCTATGTACCGATGTAGTAGAGTGTAGGGTTTCCATATTAGGAATTACTATTATGACTTAGGGAAGTATTCCCCATAACAGTACATAGGACCCTTTGGGTTCAAAATAGGGGCCTTGAGAGTCGGAATAGGGTGGAATATCACGCGCAGTTAGTTATATCGAGCTATCAAGGGATGTTATACTGATCGGCTTGACCGCTCAGACCTCTACAGTAAACCCGAAAAGTTGGAACCTGGATTCAGGATGATTACCGCTGGTGTTGTCTTTGCTCTTCTTTAATCGGCGATTTAAGGGCAATTCTCCGGGTTCAACTGTAGCGAAGTACACGCAAGTGTACCATTACCCCAAGTGCTTCATGCAGCTGTTAGAAAAACATCTCCGTGGCGAGGTTGTGAACGAACCGATGTTTAGGGCGCAATATAGGGGCCTAATTAGAATAGGGTTTTGGGGCCCAGTATACTATACCCTCAAAACAGTATTGGTAATTATTTAGGCCCCTCTAGTAGGGTCTAGGGTCTTCCGCGCTCAGTTGGACCCTGCACAAAAAACTGAATCTGACTCAGCTCCGGCGTCGGTTGCCGGTTGAGGCTGGAGATTACAGTAAGGTTGGACGGACTCAGAATCACAAACAGGTTTGGGGTTTTCCGGAACTCTAGCCCCCGAGGATTTCGGATTTAGGGGCAAATTTAGGGTTTGGGGGCTGAACCCCGCATCCTTGAGACCAGCTGCTGTGAACTTGTACATGTTGGACTGGTCCAGGTACTTGTCCTGAGGTTGTCACTTGAAGGATCAAGGAATTTCGTATGTAGGTTACAAGTATAGCAATACAGAGACAACAGGGTTACTCTACCTCACAGTCTACTGCTCTTCATCAGCGGAGATACCTTTAACATCTTAAAACAGAAGCAGAGCCCAAAGCACCCAAAACATCAAAGTTATAGAACCCATACTTACTTTATGCGTCTTTCTTAGTTGCTGAGTTCATAAGCCCCTAAAAGTGTACACTTTCAGTTTTAGATTTTCTCACATCTTCCCAAAAAGTGTAAAGTGTATCCACTCAGCTACTAAGCTTTTGAGCACTACCTTAGTAAGATTCTATATATGAACCCCAAAAGGGAACTACTTTGGAGCCTTAGGGTATAGCACACCAGATGGTTCTAAGTACGCGAAATGATGGGAGATCGGGGCTTTGACGTAACCAGGGAGAAACCGCCATAAACTTCCTTTCCACGCTGGTTCCGTTAATTTTGGGGATCTAAGGACTCATCTACTAAGGCTCTTGGGCCCAAAGACCATACTATGGAAGGCTTTTGGGCAATTTTGATCTCTAGTGTAATTTAGGGCCCAGAACGAAGTAGTAAAGTTTGGTACTATAGAATCCAAAAATTGTAGGTTGGTCCTCCAGTTACGCTGCGGAAGGAGAAGGGCACCCATGACTACAGCTTTAGGCTCTCAAATTAGGGTTAGCTTACTCCCCCAATAAGCCACAAAAATGAAATGTTTAAACTTTCAGATTACTACTAGCCAACTGTAAGAAGCCAACAAGTTGTAAAGGTTGGGTATTGGAGAACTATCAGCACTCCTAAACCCCAAACCACCAGACCCTTACACATTAGACCCTGAGTAAACCCTTAAACCCCAAATCCTAAGCCTGATCTACCAAGTTGCTGAGTAGCCCCTTTGTAAATAAGGGTAACCTTTTGTGGCAAAAGGGTACTACTCTAGGGCCCCCAAAAAGCACATAAGCAAAAATAAGGATAGTGATATCCCATATAAACCCCCTTAAAGAGAAGCCCAAGAAGGTAAGGATTAATGCTTATGTTTATGTGCTTTTGGGGTCCCTAATACTCAGGAACCTAGTCCAAGTTAAAGTTTAGAGCTTCGGTCGTCGGGCCTAAGGTGTGTAGGAAGGTGGAAGGCATACACGGTTTAGGGTTTAGGGAGTCGGTGTTGGGGTTTTGGGGTTTAGGGGTTTAGGGGTTAGAAGGTTTAGGGTTTACACCGGCAAAGTAGTGAGATTCGTCGGTGTTGACCCCTCATTGAGGGGTGAAGCGCTTCGATTTCGAGGTACCTGGGTCCCAACAAAGATGGCTGGAGATTGACTCGAGTCCCGGAATGCCTACCAGCTCCATAAACCCGAATCCCTGAATCCCTATCAGTCCTCAACCCCCTAAACCCTAAACCGTCTAAACCCAAACCCCTGGACCCTAACCCCTAAACCTTCGGCCCCCTCAGCCAAAAGCCATGAAACCATAAACCCGATAAACCCTACAGTAGACCCTAGCCCAACGCCCCCAAAACCCGATAAGCCCTACCTTAACCCTGAATTACCTACGGTTTTAAGGCTCCTTATTATGATTTCCCTTCCCTGTATAAGTCCTTCAAAAGGTCGCTTATTTGGGGTTCAGGTAAACCCTGAAAGCCTCCATTATGGAATCAGACCTCCAAAGCCATAATAGGGATGGTCTTTTGGGACCTACCCAGAAAGCCCAATACCCCTGAATTAAGCAATATACCTTAAATTATAAGGGGGCGCATAATATGATTTAAGCCACATTCCTCAATTAAGGGGTACTGGGCTCTCTGGGTAGTTCCAGAATGCTAGTATATACTTGGAGGCCCTTTTGACTTAGTAAGTAGGGTTAGTAAGGTGGGTTATGGGGATTATAACAGGGTTTATAGGGGATACTAAGTAGACTTACTAAGTCAAGAGGGCCTCCAAGTATGGACCCTCTGAGAACCCTAAACCCTGAAACCCTCCAGCTGCTCAAGTGTTTTTGGGATCTGAGGACGAGCGTCCATGGTGAAGAACCACTCTTGGCCCTCTGGGCCAACTAAGTAGACCATATCGATGGCAAGGAAGTTTACCTGCAATTTAGGGGTTTAAGGTTTAGGGGCTTAGGGTTTAGGGTTCAGCAGTTCTTTTTAAGTAGACCAGAACGATGGCAAGGAAGTTTGCCTGCAACAAGGGCTTTCAGGCAAGACGCCAAATCCAAAGGTCGATGGCAAAGGGTGTCGAACATTTCGAACTAAGCAGTGGTTTTGGGGGGTTCCCTTGGCTCTTTAGCTCCTTATTTAATAGGGATTATCATCATCCCTGGCTCCTTAGCTCCCATAATATCAATGGTTACTAAACCTTAAACCCCTAAACTCTCAACCCTCAACCCCTAAACCCCAAGGCACCCCATAATATCAATGGTTAGCGAAGCTTGAGGCCCCTAAACCCTAACCCCGTAAACCCTAAACAACTTACAGGGAACTCCAGAAAGTTGGAATATGGTTTCATAGTAGGATACCCTATAATTTACCATAGAAGGGTTAGGATAATCATATTCCAACTTTCTGGCTTTTACCTTACGGGAACCCAAAAGCAAAAGACCCGATCGATGGCACAGAAGTTGATCTTCAAATGTTCAGTGGTTAGGGCCTAGGGGCAAGAAAGTCCACCTGTAAACTCAGTAAGGGTTTCTTTTGCCTTCGATTCAACATGTTAAAGTGGTGCCAAAGTAACAAACTAAACTACCCTAGGCTGTTGATGCGCAAAGGTTTAGGCGGTTGGGTTTAGTGGCAGGATAGGGGTGTCCTTTCCTCCCTAGACTCAAGATTCGTTTTATTTAAGGCACCCCCACAATAGCAGACTGTGTCGGTATCCTACCAATATTCCTACCATTACATAGGTTCACAAATATACTTGCTTTTACGGGTTCGACTATGGGATCCCCAAACCCTAAGCCGTAGGGCCGTAGGGTTTACGGTTGAAGGCCCCCAAACCCTAAACCACTAGAGGGGCCTTAATAATTAGACTAGGGTTTTGGGGCCCAGTATACTAGAAATACAATCAGGAGCCACCAAAATAGTACTGGTAATTGTGAAGGCCCCTACTATAAGAACCCTACTATAGATCCCTGATAGAACCCCTTTAAGGATGCCTTCAAAGGGATCCCTATTCTAACTATGAAGGCCCCTAAAAGTCCAGGGATTGACCCCCCCCCCCCCACCCAAAAACACTATAAGTGCGGTAACTATGACCCTAAACCCTACAAAACCTTTATAGATCCCTGGAAGGAACCCTCTAGAGGCCTTTAAGGAGCCTTTTTAAGGAACCCTTACTTACTAGGCCCCCTATGGTAGGCCTCAAAGGGATGGTCCCCACACCCCCAACAAGCCTTGAAGATTCCGCCCAGCTTCTTGTAGCCGAGCCTCGCGGGTTTCGATTTAGGGGTTTAGGGGTTTAGGGTTTGGGGGTTTAGGGTTCAGGGGTTTAGGGTTTAGGGGTTTAGGGTTGTGGGTTTAGGGTCGATTTCGCGGGACTTGTTCTGCGGCATATAACATGGTTTAGGGTCATCGGGATGTAGGGTCTCTATAGTTTGTAAGGCTTAGGGCTTAGGGTCTCTATAATTTCTACGGTTTCGGACCATTAAGATGTAGGGTCCTGTTTAGGGCTTAGGGTCTCTATAATATACGAGGTTTAGGGTCATCGGGATGTAGGGTCCTGCTTAGGGTTTAGGGTAGATTTCGCCGGGATTCAGACCGCAGGTTCGACGCTAGACCCAGGAGTAGCCCAGGCCTAAAAAGGGCGCCCTTTCTGGTTTCAAGGGGCTTATCAGGGAACCAGAACCCTACAAAAAGGGAATAAGGGCCTTCTCTGGGTCCTAGTCGTTACGCCTCTTCTTATCGGGAGTTCACAAGGGCTTCACCCTAGGCGTCGATGTACCTAAATAGGGATGTAAAAGGGTTTAGGGGATAAGGGTGCATGTTATATGCTTTGGCAAGAAAGTACCCAAATAGGGATTACTTTACGGCCACAGCATATACTGTTTGCGCACAGGGTTATTTGGCAGTCCTGGTTAGAAGTTTCGGCTTGGAGGTACTGACCATAAGCATCCTACGAATTCTAATGTCCTCGAACTTCTGAAACTCCGCATAAAAGACACCGTGGTCTCAAGTTTAAAGTGTAGGCTCAGGCGGTTTAGAGTTTTGCAAGGCTTATATAGACCCCTATGAATCCCTACAAACCCCTCATAGCCCTATGAATCGATACAGATCCCTTATAGCACCCTATGAATCGTTCTAGATCCCCTCTAGAACCCTATGAATCCCTTTCGACCCCTTCCAGCACCCTGTGAATCTCTCTAGACCCCTTCTATATAGATTTGGCCCCAGAAAAGCACATAAGCAAAAACTTAGGATAGGGATATCCCATATAAACCCCCCTTATATTTGGGTCCCTAAATGGGGTTTCCGACTCTAACATAGTACCCTAAATAGTAGGATCCTTATTATAAGGACGCCAAAATTTTCGGAAACTCTAAACCCTAAACCCTTATAGATCCCTAATTAAGGAACCCTGTAAAGGATCCCTTTAGAGGTACCCCTAATTTTCGGAAATTCCCAAAATAGAAAACCCATTCAAGGGAGCCCTCAGAAGGCCTCATCAGCTCCATCGGGTCCTTCAGGAACTGGATGATCGGGCCTCTTCACGCATTTTTGACTCTGCATGGAGCCGTAGAGTTTTTGGTGAATCCCAGAAAGATGGAACATGGGTTTGGGATGAATAGTGCTGGGATCCCCTATACTTTGCCTTAAGGGCATGGGGATAATGATGTTCCAACTTTCTGGCTTCTACTGTAGTTAGTAAAATAAAAGAAACTCTACTATAGTATGCTTGCATAGTGTCCTATCGTTCTTTAAAGCTTTAACGCGAAGCGTACATTTGTTTATACAACCTTCGTGTGATATCGTTTCGCTAGGTCAGGCTAGGGTAGGTTAGGTGCAGGTTTAGTTTGGTTTTAATTCAGAGAAGCCTACTTGAGTTGAGTCGGGCTTGGTTCACTAGTCACTCCCCTGGACAACGACCTCAGGAGCCAGATAGTCATTGGCAAGACGGCTACAGACTGAACGAACGAGACGAACAAACAAATACATTAGTTAAGACTTGAAGAACATGGTTTGAAAAGACTGCACGAGTTCATCAGTGTATGACATCATGTATGAACGAAGTGTATACTTGTTTATTGGCATACATACCTGCAGATGTGCATGTCGTGTTGATAGATTGACCAAGAGGTCTCGGCACTCGTACCCCCGTCGCCCCTTGTCACTTTCCTCGAAACCGGAAAGCGGTGGGGGTCGGGGTTTTGAACTGTAAACTCCAACCCCCTCAGAAACAAAGCCTGAACCTGTGGCGTATCCACAAAGGGCATAAACAAACAACCACACACACACACAAACTCACAAACACACACACACACACACACACACACACACACACACACACACACACACACACACACACACACACGCACAGTCAGCCCTGAGGCAGGCCTAAGCTACAATCTGGCTCCACACAGAATAGACTTGTCTAGATCGGCAGGATAGAGAAAAACCACTGACGTGCTGCCTTCAAGCCAAATGCACTAAATTAAACCCTAAAACGAACCCTAAACCCGAAACATTAATAAGTTCCAGTCCCAAGGCTTAAACCCATAAGCCCTGCAGGCTAAACCCAAAACCCTAAAATCCTAACTTCCAAAGGTAAAAGGAGGGACGCTTAGTAAGGACCCCTAGGTATATGCCCATATATAGCTATTATATACCCATTATATGGCCCATTATAGGGTAGGGTCCCCATTAAGGGTCCCCCCTTTTCCCCATTGATAACTTCCATGAAAGATGAAGCGTTTATAGTGCCCTGGGTCTTAAACCCCTACAAAACCCTATAGATCCCTTACAAAGGAACCCCCTCTAAGCCCTCAAAGATGCCATTGAAGGAGCCCTTGGAACAAAGAAACAATAGCAACCCTTACAAAGATCGCTATGAAAGAAAGGATTTTCTGAGAGCCCCCATAGGTATCCGTAAAGCAACCCTTCTAGGAGCCGACCCTTATAGGCACCCTTCTAGGAACCCTTATAGATCCCTTACTTATCCCTTTAAGGATCCTTTTTAAGGAACCCCTCATACTGTGGATGGACACTATCCTGCATGACCCAGTATAAGGAACATACCATCATTCCCATAGTTTAGGGTCCTTAAGGTCATGCAGGACTTTGTCAATCAACAGTAGGAGCCCATCTTCCGGGGGCCCCACCTACGAGGGGCAAGCCCATGGTGAAAGTCGGTGGCTCTTTCCTGGCCAAATCCGAAAATTAGGGGTACCTTTAAAGGGATCCTTTAAAGGGTTCCTAAAGGGATCTATAAGGGTTTAGGGTTTAGAGTTTCCGAAAATTAGGGGTACCTTATTTTGGGGGTCCTTATCATAAGGATCCTACTTGTTAGGGTACTATATTACAGTCCGTTATTTTCGGAAACTCCCATTTCTGCGTTTAGGGTATACAGGTTACGGGCTTTCAGGGTTTAAGAGTTTAAGGGGTTAAGGGTTAATTTATGGGTTTAGGGTTTTACGGCGGTTTAGGAAGTGAGGGTTGTTGAGAAGGGTTTGTGGCATAGTGGTCTGTCTACTTTTGACCAGCGGGCATAGAATTCACACATGGTCGCTGTCAAAATGCTTTCCGGGACCTGTTAAGCCCTTCAACGCTGAACGAACCCTGATGGAAACCCTTGTAAAGACCCCCTTTAGCGTTATAAGAAGCAACCTTGAATGTATCATCCATCCACCCATGAAAATCTGAGAAATCAAAAACCTCTTAAGACGCTGCCAAATCTTGACGCAGTCTACCTAAAGACTGAAATCTAAACCCTAACCCGGAAACCTAAACTCCAAAAACTCCAAAACCCCGTCAGTAAGGAGTATACCTTAAATCTTAGTAGAATTCCATATATGATTTGAGCTCTATTCCTCAATGGACGTCTATTGGAGTCTCTGGGAAATCCTGAAACCTAAACACGAAACTCTAAACCCTGAAACCACATCTAACCTACCTTTTCAGGGTTGCTTACTATGATTTCCTTGTACGGGGTCTTAAAAAGATGGGTTTTTCAGGCAAAGCCTGAAACCGCAAACTCGAAACACTGAACTCTAAGTCCTAACCTCTCACGCAGTAGCTGAATACCTAAGCCCAATACGGTAACAACATAACTTATTTATGGCTGGAATACATGAACCCGAAAACTTTAAAGGTTACCTAGTCAGCTACTACGTGGTATAGAAGCCCTTAGGGAGCGCCAAGAAGAACCCTTATAGGAACCTTTTTAAGGAACCAGTATAGATCCCTCTGTAGGATCCCGTTAGGTTACCTACTGAGCTACCAACCCAGAGGGTCCATATATACTACTGTTATGGAATTAGGCCCCAAAAGACCATCCCCATTATGGTTTTTGGGACCTAATTCCATCTGTAGTAGTGTATATGGACCCTCATCATGGGACTTAGTAAGTAAGCTTATGAGTACCTTAATTGGGGCTATAAGTACTTACAAATATAGTTACCTTATTTATAACCCCAATTACTAAGTCCCATGATCCTTTAAGTAAGCTCAAGAATCTGGCCTCGATCGCCACCAGCGCCGGAGCCTGTGGATTTCAATGCAAAGACCCAAACCTTCCAATAACCCTTCACACTAAACCTTACTTGGAGGGGCAGGGGACTTAAAAATTAGGTTCTAAGTACGGTTATAATTGGGGTAACTCCATTTAGGGTACTTGTATAAGCCCTAAACCTGAACCCCAAATAACCTACTTTTTAAAGGACTTATATAAAGAAATCATACTAGGGAACCCTAAAAAGGTAAGTTCTTTGGGGTCCAGGTAAACCTTAAACCCCACTCTTTAAACTCTAAGCCCTAGATTAGGGAGTATGGCTTACATCGTGCCATGGATCCTGCTACAAGTCCAGGGGTACTCCTTAATCAAGCGACTTTGGAAGGTCTGAGAAAGACCCAGATCCTGGCTAAAGGTTCCAGAAAGGTGAGTTAAGGCTTCAATTCGTTTAGGGTTGGGGTTTAGTTGACAAACCTCCTATCACATTTGTCGATAGCTCGATAGAGATTACAAGCAATGCAGCCATGAGGGGCGGTACATGTGTGTGTGTGTGTGTCAATGGTATGTGTCTTTTCACAGGTCTGTATGCATAACCTAACATGTGTGTATATATATATATACATATATATATATATATATATATATACATATATAAATATATATAAATATGTATGTATGTATGTATGCATGTATGTATACATATGTAAGTTGATACGTGTATTTGCAAAGATGCAAAAGTGCATGTGCGTAAGTGCGTGTATGCAAATGCATAGTATGTTGCACGCATCTAACCCATTATAGAACTCTTCAGCTTAAACGACTGTTACCGCAACACTATGAAGGGCACTCTCACAGCAACCCGGGCTCACAAACCACAATCCCTTACAGTACCCTTATACTACTCTTCTAGAGCCGCATATTAACCCTCAGCCCTAAATCCTGCACTGTTTTGTATTTGTCTTCATGTTAAACCCTACACCCCAAAACCCTAGAAACCGTAAGCCCCAAACCACAAAACCCTAAGCCCCTGTTTCTGACTGGTGCTCAGGAGGGAATGGGAGAGCGGATGCCCATAATAGTCCCCAAACAATCGCTTACAGTATAGTAGTCCTCCTATTCCTTCCTCCACCCTTCCTCTAGGTTCCTGAATAGCCCCTTTACAATAAGGGTACCCCTTTTCCTACAGTTTTGCTTTAGCAAGGAGACCCTAAAATGAAAAGGGCAAAAGGGTATTGCTCAGGAACCTACCTAGAGTCTCCATTGTAGTTCCTTCTTTTGGTTGACCAGTTTCATTGTTAGGAACCCAAAATCGAGATTTTGGTTAACCAAAAAAAGGAACTACAATGGAGACTCTAGGTAGTCCTTAAGCATCAGTGTCCGGCCGAGAAGCAGCAGTGCCGACACCACCAGTGTCGCCCCGGCGGGGACGGCAGCGTTCAACGCGCCATTGGCTGCCTGCACTATTTCAAAGGGGAAAAGGAGGGACCCTTAATGGGGACCCCTACCCTATAGTGGACCATATAATGGGTATATAATAGCTATATTAAGGGTACATATCTGCACTATTGTAGTATAATATGGGCTTAGGGGTTCAGATCTAGGGTTCAGGTCAGTTTAGGTCTTGATGGGTCCTTGGTTTAGGGTTTACATGTTTTACGGTTTGCTTCCTACTGGAAGGATCCCAAAGCGGCTATATAGGGAGAGGGTACTTACCCAAAGCATGATAGGAGAGTATAGTGTAAGGTTTCTTGTTGCACAGTTTCAGAACTTATTAGCCGTAAAATCCTGTACCTATTTTGTAGAACGCGGGTGTGTGCGTGTGTGTAGAGCTACCTTAGAGATACATTGGCATTAAGCTGAGGGGGCTGAGAGACGGCGCTCATGGCTAATAGGTTCAGTAACATTCAGGTGTTGGTTCACTGAGGGAACAAAGCAGTAATAGGTCTTTAACTATAAGGGCTGGATTGATATCATGGCTGTTACGGTAAAATCCTGAATTGAGGGGTATTGAGCTCTGTAGATATCCATCCAGCGCTCAGGTAGAGTGAACGTCAAACAAACTTGAAAGTGGCAAATAGGACGACTAGCACATATCCGAAAGTTCGCCAACTCCGCGTATGAGGACGGTAAGTCTTCAACTTGGCTCTTACATTCTGAGGGCACAGGCATGTAGAAAACCATACGTTTCCCGCTTCAGTTCAAAAGACGCTGGGGCCGTGGCACGCAATCCCCTGGAGCTCTTTCCAGCATCGAAATCCCTCAATTAAGGGACATACCTTAGAAGAAATACTAGGATGCCCAAAAGCTGGATGGTGTATTCCTTACTTAACAGATACTGGAAGGTCTGGGTAGTAACCATAATATAGAGGTTTTAGTAATTGCCTATACTATTTTGGGGGTTCCTCACTATAATTATAGAATAATGGGCCTCAAAACCATATCCAAATTATTACTAAGACCCCTGTACGTAATTAAGTCCGAAGCCAGATAGCTTGCCAGTCTTCTTCATTGGTTGAAGCCAGAAAATCGATAAGGGTACCAGGACGCCCTCCAAGGGCCCTTTAATAGAGCCCTTATCGCCCTAATTCGTGGGTATTTAAGGTATATTGGTAGTTCTGTAGATTAAGTTCTTAAAGGATCATGGGACTTAGTAAGTGGGGTTATAAATAAGGTAATTATACTTATAAGTACCTATAACCCCAATTAAGGCAGTTATAACCCTACTTACTAAGTGCCATGATCCTCCCAGTTGTCCTCTATTGAGCCAAAACAGTCTGGCAAACACCCCGTTTGGCTTTCGGTCATGTTGCTGCAAGACACGTCAAACCACTCTTTTGGCACCTGTTCGTTCTGGGCGGTCCTGCGGCACTATACACTGGACTAGGCCCCTAAACCCAGACCCTGAACCTAAACCCTACACCTTAAACGGTGAACCTGTGCGGTGAAGGAGGCCAGGCAGCAGTTCAAAATATTGGGTGCTTGGGGGTGGCTGGTCGAATTGAACTCGGATCAAGGTTCTTAGAGGTTAGGGTTTAGGATTTGGCGTTAAGGCTTTGGGATTCAGGATTCAGGGGGTGCCGCCGTATACCCTGAACCCGCCTTGTTGCCATTCAAGGACGGCATTGCTGACTCCTCGCTTCAGCATCAACTTAGCAACAGTTCTCGTGTCAAACCTCTTGCAGGACTGCAAGCCCAGAATGCCAAAACAGAGGAACATACACAACAACACACACACACACACACACACACACATGGCTTAGCCACAAGACCGCACGTGGTCCAGCAGCAACGCCCCACAACTCATGCTCCCATCAGTTCAACCGCCGCAACCAGAAGCCCCAAACTCCAAGTGCAAACCACAAACCCTGAGGGTCTTAGGTTGGACTTAAAGTCATCCCTATTTGGGTGCTTTGGCCCACTTTGGGGAAATATGCAGCCTACTATAGGCGCCTTAATAATTCGATTAGCGTTCCTGTAAGGGTTCCTTTAAAGGGATCTGCAATTGGAGTTCCTATAAGGGCTTTGTGTAGGGGCCTTAATAACCAGAACAGGTCCCTGGGGGTTCATTATGCTACAATTATTGTAAGGACCCTCCAGAATAGTAGATGTAACTAGCAAGGCCCCTACAATACAACTTTCGATTTCGGATGGCTTTTGACTTGGTCTATTCAAGGCCCCTGCAATACAACTTTCGATTTCGGATGGCTTTTGACTTGGTCTATTCCTACACACCTCAAAAGAGTGACAGCTAGACCCAAGAGTAACCTAGGCATAAAAAGGGTGCCCTTGTTGGTTTAAAGTGGTTTATAAGGGAACCTGAACCCTAAAAATAAGGAACAAGGGCCTGCTCTAGGACCTAGATAGTGAAGAGCAAAAGCGCCCGTTTAGAATACATGCGTGCGCACACAGCAAAAGATCGGAAAACGGCGCCTGCCGATCAGGCCGGGGTATTCGCTTTGGAAGCGTGCTTGGAAACATTGCCATTGCGGTGGAGTGGCCTGGTATGTTGTACACCATCTCCTGGGCGAGCTGGAGCGCACGTTCGTGCGTAGCTCCCTGATCCCGATGGGTGAAGTAGGCCCGCTTCTTGGCGAGATTAAACGCTTTCGTGCTTTGCGCTGCTTGGCACCTTGGCCAAGGCGGTTCTTGGAACGCCACTCAGGCTCGGCTTCGGCCGAGCTCTGCCCTGTTGACACAGAACTTCGCAGACTAAACTCCACATCGCAAGACCTAAGCCTTAAAACCCTAAACCCTTAAACGCGAAGCACTAAGATCATAGGCCCTAAACCCTAAACCCTAAACCCTCAACCCTTAACCCTAAACCCTAAACCCTAAACCCTAAACCCTCAACCCTAAACCCCTAAACCCTAAACCCTAAACCCTCAACCCTAAACCCCTAAACCCTAAACCCTCAAAGACTAACTTAGGGGCTGATAACCCTAGCCCAAAAAAAGGTTAACCTTTTCCTAGACCCAAAACCCAAAACCCTAAACCCTAAGAAATCCCTTTAGAGGAAGCCTTTTCGGATCCCTTTAAAGGAACCCCCATGATCTAGACCCAAGAGTAGCCTAGGGATGTAGGACCACTTGTCCTGGGTTTAGGGTTTAGGGTTTAGGGTTTAGGCCGGAAAAGAAAGGCTAGACCCAAGAGTAGCCTAATCATAAAAAGGGTGCCCTTTTTGGGTTAAAGGGGTTTATAAGGGAACCGGAACCCCAAAAAAGGGAATAAGGGCCTACTCTAGGTCCTAGTTTCAATTATAGTAGGAGTCTCAAACCCTCAAAGATTACCTACTCAGCTACTAAGTCCTTGAGGCATTCTTTACAAAGGGTTGCTGGTGCTTTAATTTGAAGGTTGCTTGAAACTGTTCCCCTAAACCCCTTACTGACCCAAAACCCAAGGGAATCAAAGTTGAAACTTTCAGAATCGACTACGTTATAAGAACCCCCGAAGTTTAAAAGTTTAGTATACAGCCAATACGACCCTAAACCCTCTAGGAGCAAACCAAATCAAAGGGGAAAAGGAGGGACCCTTAATGGGGACCCCTACCCTTTTATGGGTATATAATAGCTATATTAAGGGTATATACCTAGGGGTCCTTATTGAGGGTCTCTCCTTTTGCCCTTGGAGTGTTGGGGCGCCACGGCACGGTCCCCCAACCCTGAGGCTCCAAAGTAGTTCCTTTTTGGGGCTCATACACAGAATCCTATAAGGCAATCCCAAAAAAGGAACTACTTTGGAGCCTCTGGGTAAATGCTTGGACAAAAAGCAGCTCCTCGGAGCGTCTTCGGCTCGCAGTGGGCAGCAGAGGCGCGGCGCGCGGGAGGGAAAATCAGGGGAAAACAAAAGCTGCCCGGAATACGAAAGACGGTTTAAGGTTAAGGGTTTAAGGGCTTAGGGTTTAGAGTTTAGGGTTTAAGGGTTTAGGGTCTAGAGTTTAGGGTTTAAGGGTTTAGGGGTTTAATGTGAAAGTTTGTTTGTAGGATTTAGGAGTTCAGGGTTGGGTCGCAGGATCGTTTTGCAGGGTTTCGGACTTCAGAGGGCGGAAGGCTGTTTAAAGGTCTCTTTCAGGGCGGTGCTGTGACAAGAACCCTACAGTAGAAGCCAGAAAGTTGGAACATGGCTTTATGAGGATTAGTGCTAGGATCCCTTATACTTTACCTTAAGGGCATGATGAGGCCAATGTTCCAACTTTTCTGGCTTCTACCCTAAACCCTAGCCTGTAGCACAAGGGTTCAGGGGTTTTGTTTTTTTGTTCGAGCGTCGGAGTTGGGGTGTATCGGTTTCGTGGAAGAGGGTTTTTTGTTTTTTAGGGCTTTCGGTTTCGGGTTGGTGGGATAGGGGTTTTTGTTTCTAGGGTCTTTATTGAGGTCCCATCTAAAGTAGTCTGGGACTCACATATAGGGTATTGTGGATGGACTTTCACGCGTGCCTTGGCGATGCCTAGTAGAACATTGGGTTTGGGGCTTGGGGCGTTAGGATATACACCCTGGGGGTGTGGGAAAGGAGCTGCGCTTCAAAGCTTGGGGCCCAGACCTTCCAAAATCCTTTAATTAAGGAATATACCTTTCTGATAATAGGACCCCTTACATGAGTTAAGGTATATTCCTTCCTTTCGGGATTTTGGAAGGTCTGGGAGTGTGCGGTGCTTCAAGTACGTCTGAGGTTGCAGACTAGGACCTGGTGCTTCCTAACTTCCTGCTTATCATAAGGACGCAAGGGCCGTTCGGGGGTAAGGGGGAGGGGGGTTGGGCCTTCGTACACCTAATAAGGAGCTGACAAAGGCTTCAATCAAGCCAAGTTAAGGAAGCTTCCCTAAACCCTAAACCCTAAACCCTAAACCCTAAACCCTAAACCCTTACCCCGCGAAGGCCGCTTGCTGATGTAAGCCCTAGAGACCGCCTGGAGGATTCAGGCAAGTTTTGGTTTACAGACTCAGAATGAAGGGCTTGCTTGGAGGGTCGGGGGGCTTAGTAAGTAGTTAGTAAGTAGACTTATAAGTACCCTAAAAGGAACCCTAATTGGGGTTATGGTACTTATAAGTCCCTAAAAATAACCAGTTACTAAGTCCCCCGACCCTCCAAGTGGGGTTAGGAATCAAGGCCCTGTTGAAAGTTTCCGGGGCTCAGGAATAAGCCCTACTAGACATGGTGCAAGGGCTTGAATAATTCGAAGAGTACCCAGAGAGCCCAATACCCCTTAATTGAGGAATATAGCTTAAATTTTAGTATGAAGCCCATATTCCTTAATTAAGGGATATCGGAAACCCTATAATCCCTATAGATCCCTTATATAGATCCCTGTTAGACCCCTTGGTATTTTCCTTAATTAAGGGGTATAGGGCTCTCTGGGGACTCTAATATAGTACCCTAAATAATAGGATCCTTATTATAAGGACCCCAAAATAAGTACCCCTAATTTTCGGAAACTCTAAACCCTAAACCCTTATGGATCCCTTTAAGGAACCCTGGGTTTGCCCCTCAGGGTTCGGGTATCTCCTTGACAGGGTCCAGAAGCTCCTAGGTCGTAGGGAGAGCCCCGGTTTAGGGTTTGGGGTTTGGGGTGTGGGGTCTCAGAAAATCCTACCTTTTGAAGTTTCCAGAAGTGTTAGGACCTTGGGGTGGGGTATATACGGGTCTGAAATTCCGGGATCGAAACTAAGTTGTAAAAACCCGGAGCCCTGACAACCTAAAAAAACCAAGTCCCCGCAGCCTAAACTCAGAAAGCCCCAAACCCTCACGAACACTTATAGGAGGCCTTTAAGGAGCCCCGAAAGCAGGCCACCGTCGCTGCCTGTGTGGTCCCCAGCCAGTTGCCATCGGCATGGCCGAGAACCTGGGCATGATCCAAGGCTCCATTCGATTTGGGGTTTAGGGGCCCTTCATAACAGTCATTAACAGGGTACGATTACGCGCAATATATATATATATATGTGTGTGTATGTATGTACGCACGTGTATACATACATATATATATATATATATATATACATAGATATATATATATGCATAAATAAATACACAGATTTAGATATATTTTCCAGCTGTTGCTCAGTGGGGGCAGCTTCCGAGGTCCATGCTTTTTGAACAAACAAATACTAAGTAGATACTTAAACATAGAAATGCACACATCTGTCCTGGTAAAAGTAAACTGCAAACTGCCAAAATGGAGGTGATTGTAATGATTACTGCTGCTGCTGCTGGTGCTGGTGGTGCTGCAATTGCTGTTACTGTTGGTGCTGTTGTTGTTGCGGTAATTGGCGAAGCTGTCCTCATCTGTTCTCACAATTGTTGTTGCGGTGACTTTTTTGCTATGGCTAGTACTACAAGCTTTTCCAGGACGACTATTACCATCACTGCTACCATATCTAGTATTACTAGGCCGTTGATACCAGTGTTATCGATGTTACTCTTGCTACAGCCAATGCTTCTTGTGGCTATTGCTACTACGCTTATGACAACTGTAACAATTACTTCTGCGAAGTGGTACTTTCTACTCGTGTCTCTATTACAATGACAAGTGTTCCAATGCAAGAGAACTGATCGTTAATCTTATAGTGTTATCTTTCATCTATCTTGATCAACAGGGCTATTCTGTCTCAGGCTGTTGGCACTGGTTTGAGAGTT